CGTAGGAATCTAATGCGTGATAATCTAACGCATAGTAATTCAGCGTGTGGATATCCAACGCGTAGTAATCTAGCGCGTGCATATTCAACGCGTAGTAATCCAACGCGTAATAATACAACGCGTGGTAATTCTAAGCGTAGGAATCTAATGCGTGGTAACCTAACACATATTAATCCAGCATGTGGATATCTAACGTGTAGTAATCCAGCGCGTGGATATTCAACGCGTATTAATCCAACGCGTAGGAATGCAACGCGTGGTAATTCTAAGCGTAAAAAATTTCATTAAACTGAAGTACAGTTTTTAACTGTGTATTAATTTAATTTTTAATTCTGAACTGCAATAAACGCTTTTCTCACAATTTTGTAATATTTGGAATCATGAAATATTGGCACAAATTTAATTACAAATTAAATTAATAAATGGAATTTCTACAAATCTTTAATTAATTCATATGATCAATAGAACGAACATGTACCAATACAATTCATGACCAATACAAGAGCCATTTACATTTTAACTTAATTAAAATTAAATTAATGTTTGAAATATAAATTTCTATGAAATTTTGATTCGTTTAATCACGTACTTACGTATGAGTATCTATAATAATTATAGTGAATAAATTTTGTGGAAAAGAGCCGATATGTTATGAAAAATTGACAGAACTGAATAAAATTGTATAACTAACAAATATTTTGCAAGTATGGAACGTAGTTTTTAGTAATAGAAAAATTCAGAATGAAAATTTTCAGAGTGCATTATTTCAAATGTTTAGAATTTTTATAGGAATTCGCTGTCGATTTTTAAATTTTAGAATTCAGACATTTTTGAATTTTGGAAAATTGTAATTTTGAAATTCAATTATTTTGAAATTTTATAATTCCATGTTTTTGAAGTTTTGAGACATTGAAATGTTGAAGCTCTATAATTGTTTCATTTTCTAATTTTTCAAACTCGAGTCTTTTTAATTCCAAAATTTAATAATTTTATATCTTTGTTATTTCAAAATATCGAAACTGTGAAATCTCAATTTCCTAGAGTACTGAAATATCAATTCAAGTTTCTTAAATGTGAAACTTTCGAAATTCGAAACTTCAAAAGTTCCCAATATTCACACTTCGATGCTTGAAAGTTTCTAAAACTTGAATTTCTTATTCATCAGAATATTACTATTCCACAATTTCGTAAGGCAATAAAGTACACCCGATATCATAAAAACGAAATACATTTACGAAAGTGCGTCACAGCCCATAAAACTTCGAAAAGCTTTTATCCGTCCGTTACACGAAAACAACGCAACAGCCCGACATCATAAACGAAATCTTCGTTTAAACTCCCGTTAGCAACTATCTAAAATGAGTTGAATAATTCATATCAAAAACCACTTACTTTACATATTTGATCAGCGCATGCCTCGTGAGGGGTGCTGGCACGAACGTTCCATTTATGCACGATAAATCTCCCTTCGTATCATCGTCGTTCGCTTCGGTGGTGCTCGCCGTTTCCGTGCTCTTCTTTTTCAGCCTGTCGACCTCAGCTTGCTCGATTATGGGTTTCCCATAAAAACGCGATCCCCCAGCTTTTCGTTGCTCGACTTCTCGTCGCGGCAACATCGATAACTTCAAGCTCGACGTCATATAAGCGTTGTAATCCTTTAGGGTTCTCGCCAGCACCTCGTTCTCCAGATCCAGAATAGGCAGATCCTCCTCGGTCTTCGAGTAACCCAACATTTTATCGGCATCGTATCTGGAATTGCCGAACTTTGCCTCTCCGGCATAACTCTCCTGTTTACGTTCGATTTCCTTGTATCCTCTCGACACCGAGCTGCCCAGGATACGATTCTCCAAACTGGCTGGATCCTCCATTTGAGTGCGGGAGATCTCCTTCTCGAGTTGCTTCGAGAATTCCCTCTCGACCGTGTCCTCGTGACCCCTGTAGCGCGAGGTGGTCTGTGTAGATCTCCTCGTGGATTCGGTGGTCAATTGATCCTGCAGGTTCGACGAGGTCGTGTTAGCAGTATCCACCGAGGACCCGTTCGAAAATTGCTCCCTCCAGCTCACGTCCGACGAATTGTAGCCCGAAAGGTTACCCTCGGTCTTGCCCAGCATTAGGGCAGCAGGTGCGTCGTTCATTCTTCTCTTGAACTTGGAATTTCTTCGACCATCCCGATCACCGTTCGGTCTACCTCTTTTCCTGCCGCGTTTTCGCTCGCGATTCTTCCTCCTCCTTCGTCGCTCGGCACGGTACCTTCGAGCTGGTGAATCTTTCGACTTCTTCGGAGATCCACCTCTCTTGCCTCTGATCTCGTTCTCGCGAACGTCCTCGGTGGCCTCGCGTTGACGATTCGTGACCGAATTTTTCGATTCCTTGCTTTTGCGGAACTTCTTACGTGACCTGTAGACGCCTTCCTTTGGACGAGTCGGAGACGAGGATGCTGCAACAATTTTATTACGATTATCGTTTGGTTTTTATACAAATTGATATATGCGATTATAACGAGGTTTTACCTTGTTATAACAACAGGGTCTAACCTTGCAACAAGGTTTTCTGAGTGAAGGGAGAGAATGTGTTAATATATTCAGAATATATGTACATATGTGGACGTTTAGGTTTTATGATCGAACGGAGGTCGTGTCGCTTTTACTAGTGTCTATTTATAAGTTCTTTTAGAAATTATTTATGTTATTGTTACAGACTTAACAGTGACAAAGTGCAAGTTGTTGAAATTATTTTCTTGAAATCTGTGTTGATTATTATTTCATCATTTTGTTCTTCTTTTATATGTACATGTATATTTTTATGTATATAAGAATACAATCTTAATATTAATATACAAGGGTTATGCAATTAATACATAATTCATAAATTACAGTATATATTATAACTAATAAGATTGTGCAACAACAAAATGCACGTGCACTATAATATTTGCAAAAGAAATATATTCAGTACATGATCCTCAGATTTATCTTTTCTAATAAAAGGAAGAAATACATTGGTTTATGAATCACTGTGTATATCAGAAAAAGTGTGAATAATTTGACTGGATGAATATATCTTTGCGATAATTTTATTAAAATTCAATAAATTATGTGCGAATGGAATAGTAAATGTATTATAATCAGCATGTATAAACTATACAATCATCTAAATTAAACCCCGCCGTCTGCCATGCAACATGCAAGACAGTAATCACTAGTTTAAGAAATTATTAAATATCAAATTTCCATTTTGGGTCAATTGGACTCGAACAGAACACAGGGGTAGAGTAGAAAGAGATCTGACAGGTTAAAAGCTGATAATCTTACTTTATTAACACTGCAAATATAAATTGTATATCGCGTGAGACCATTTGCAAAATGAATAGGGTAAAGGTAATTGTTTCTGTGAATTGTGAGGTTATTATCGTTGATTTCTACATCTGTCAGCTTGGGAAACGATCAATGATATCTCTGTCATGCACTGATTAGCACGTTGCTAGCTTGCTTGGGATAAGCTGGGTTAAATGAAGTCGTAAGTTAGCTACTACTGGTATGCAGAAGCAAAGCAATTTTGCGGTGAAATGATATACATATGAGGTATATTCTTTACAGTTGAATAATACTCGTGATACATACATAGGATGTCCCAGTTTTTATTCATCAAATTTTACATGAAAGTATGAAAAAGATGTTATGTAGTAAAAATCGTTCGTAATTTTAAACCGGAACATTTGTTCTAACAGTTGTAACATCCCGCGGAACCTTTTCTTTTTGTACATTACCCACCAACTGTAATAATTCATTTATCGACAATAGTTGCGAATCATCGACAGTACATCAGGCATCTATTACCATATCTATCAAATTTGACAGTCGGTAATCAGTATATATATATATATTTCCATTTATATTAATTATTTCATGATTTTGATTTAGAATAGGTAATATGTTTCACCAAATCAAATATTAAGTTAGAACGATTGAAACAAGACTCGTGTATTATTTTATTTTAATTCTAATAAATGTATAGTTTTGTATGACAAATTTCCGTTACGATATGTGCCTACATGCCGCGATGCTCGCCCCGAAATCCTTGAGATCAGCGCTAATCCTAGAAAAGGATAGAGATACTATTTCTATTTGCGGCATTATTGGACACTAAATTAATTAATTAACTAAATCAATGTATATACGTAAAATCAACCAGTACTAAACTATTCATGGCCAGAACCAAAATCATTTTCTTCAACTAAAAAGCTGTAAATCGGAATAGATTCGGTTCACGTAGAATTTGTGCTCAGTTCATTAGAAAAGGACAGACAATGTATTTTTCGCTAAACCACAATTAGAGTATTATTTTAGTATTGAAACGATAGCAATTAATTAAAGAGCGACATTGAAAATATAATTAAATCATTCGATTTGACAATTAATGTATAATAACGAATTTATACGAAAATTTATATATTCTGACGTCACAGAAATTCCAGGAATTCGGCGAACCTGCGAGTATAAAAGGGCGAGCGAAACCCGGCTAAGCAGCAGAACAATTTTCGAAATCGAACGCGTTAGAAGTCTCCTTGATAAGTATAACCGGAACAATTTCCGCTGTCAAAGAGCCGAAAAGATTCTTAATGCTTGACTGGTAAAGACTTGACTGGTAGAGCGGGTATACGCCATTCGGTTACTTGGTCGCTGGGTTGTTTTAGCAGCTGGTGAACAACAGGCTCCCAATTCAAGCGATTTTGTAATTGAAACTCCGTTAGGAGAGTGCTATACTTAGCGCCAAGAAAGACTAAGACATCGAACGAAAGCTCTCAGCTACTCGTATTTGATATTTGATCGAATTGCTAACCCGTCTTCAGTTTCTCGGAGCTCGCTCTGAGTTACTCCCCCTCATTGAGCGACTTGGTCACTGAAGCCCGTGTCTTTTGGGTGGCGGTTCAGCAATTACGAGTTCATAATTAGAGTCAATCTAGGTTTGCTAGCCTGTTGGACGTATATTGTTCATCTGACTCTGGATCGTTGGGTTGTTTTAGCAGCTGGTGAACAACAGGCTCCCCGTTCAAGCGATTTTGGGTGTCGGTGTGCGCTCTGACAAAAAGGGCCATGGACAATTAGTTGTCGAGTCAAATTATAACAAGAGTAATTGTTCCGAGGAAGTGCTTTAACTTTAGACGAACTTTAGAAGTCGAATTAATAAAAGAATATTGTTCTGTCTCTAGCGTACTTTTCCGTAGTCGACTACACCGCGTTAGATAATAGACAAAATCATTAATCTGCCTAATTTTACGAAAGGGTATCTAAATGCACTTAGAGAATCACACTTAGGTCGGATTCCTCACTGCGGTAGACTATAACGCACTAACATTATTAATTTTGTAAAATTTCATTTATATAAAGTTAGAAACCGAATCACACTTAGGTAGGATTCATTATAAATTATAAACGTGTTAATCAAGTAAAATCTTGTGATTGCGATAGCTTCGAACACGAGAATCGAATATATATAAAGAATATCAAATTTAGTTAATATTACAAAAGCGAAGTTAGCTTTGTCAGAGATCAGACTTAGGTACGGTCCAATATAAAGTATTCACCAGCGAGTTCATTTCGTTAAATTCACGATTATCTACTACATATTGTTTAATTTGTCAAGTTCTATTATTTCTATTTTAAAAGCTATTTAATTCTTTATTCCAATTAATCATTTATAATTTATTTTGTTGTTATTGTTATTTGTTAGTATCATTTCTTATCGTTTTATTGAATAAACCTTATTGTTGAAAGATATTGACCTGTGGATTTCACTCCTTAACCGCACACCACACGAATCCCACATTCTTTAGATTAGTTATTTGCGAAAACGAGTCGTTTAGTGTGTAAAAGCCGCTCTTTACCTTCCTAGCGCTTGTAACTCTCTGAACCTAGGTTCCAGGGTCGTTACACAGTTTTGTGTATCAACAAAAATAACGAAGCCATTGATGGATCTATAACAAATGAAGCACCCTATATAAATGCTTTATTGAAAATTTATGATAAATATACACATTATGAACTGACAGTAGATGATTTTAGTATACAATTATTAACTTAAATGATTAACAAATTATCTACTTCTGTGTTTTTGTTATAATTTTCAATAAAGCATTTTATGAATCGGTGTTTATGTAATATTTACTTACTTTTACTTATGGTATGTAATGATAAAATTTTCTGTGTAAGACTAGGACACTGTATGTGTAATATTGAACAATAAAACAGTTGACATTTTTTATTTTTGTTACAACTTTTTAATACAGTGTTTAAAACGCCGTGCTAATATAACACTTTAGTTCCTTATTTTTACGTGTAGAATATGTCGATAAAATTTAGGAAAAAAATTGATGCTCCATGTGTGTAATGCATTTTAATTAATTCTAAACTACATTGGTCACAATTGATACTAAAGTACTCTAATTAGTACTTTAATGTATTCTGCAGAAATACGGTACAAGAAATAACACAACTCATCAAATTTTTGATATTATGATTGCTATGTAGTAAATATAATAACTTTTGATTTTTAAATTAATATACTGTATAAAAAATATATTGCTGCAATAATATCGTCTTAGATAAAAGTGTATGTAATATATGAAAGCATGAAAGATACAAAAGTAAAGTAAAATAAAAAATTGTAATAAAATTAAGTTTATCCATAATGACTAACATTTGTATAATATGTATCTACATATGCAAGTTGTAAAAGGAGATAAAAATTTCCGTTAATACAATAATGTAATTAATAAATGATTATAAAATTAGTGACTGTAAGAAAATAAAGTGTAACGTTAACAATAATTAATAAAATAGTAATAACATATATCTGTATAAAAATTACCAGAATATCTGAGAAAGTTATAAGGTAATATGATCTTCAATAAATGCCATATTACTGACATATATACATGACCATTCATTTATAATGTATAGATAAATAAAGTTAGAAAACAACTATGATACAGAAACAAATAAAATTAAAAGAATGTGTGTAATGTATGATATACATATTGTTTATAATTGTAGTATAATAGATCAGGTCCGTCGTTTCCCGAAATTCTTTTGTTTACCGGTCGGTGGAATATTCCATGACGCACACACAATATGTACTATATAATGTATAAATATTATTTAATGTCAAACATTATAACTACTATACATTATTTTACTATAAAAATAAAAGCTGTCATGAAGCAAGTTTTAATAAAATTAACACGTTCTAAAATACAAGTAACTCTAAAATATTGATCCAGGGAACATAATATGCAAAAAGTATTTTGTTTCTGCTGCTCTCGTAACATTTAAAATTTAAACAGTACCAAATTTTAATTAATTTTACGATAGCCGCCATTTTCCCGTCAATCACTTGTTTATAATAGAGCTGCTATTTTGAAAGTGGTGCAAATCCACC